AATCTTGAGTAAGTCATTCATCAATCTAAGGAATAATTTACAACCAACACCCTTACAGTTCCAGAAGAAACAATTCATCAACCTTAACAATTAAAAGAGAGTATCCTTAGGATGATGATCATTCTCCACCCTATAATCTAGGAATATCTTCATTAGTAAGGGCATGAACAGTGTTCTTAAGCACATTATATCTAGATCCTGTGGGAGAGTCTATACCTTTCCCATGAAGGTTGGGGCTGTTAATATTCCTGCTCTGCCCATCTTTCCTCTTGATGGCCTTTTTAGCTAACATCCAAGGGCCAAACCTACTGTAGCCCTCCAGTAGACTGCCATTATGATTAGTCTAACCATTTTCCCTATCTTGGTCTAGATAGGGCCTTTTCTCCTATACTGTCATTACACTAGTTGACCCAAGGTTATCACTAATTTGGCTAGGTTTATAACTCTCACTACAGGAATTTTCCCTATGCCCATATTTCTCACACTGAAAACAAATCAAATGGAGACCCTCATACTCCACTACATATTCTTGACCTGAGGATTTAAAGGATGAAATTAACTTTCTATTTAGATCTAACTCTACACAAAGCCTAGCAAATTGTCCTCTAGATATCAGCAAAGTGTGAGGGTCTATTTTTAACGTAGATCCCAAACAAGAACCTACTTGCCAGAGGAACTTCTCATTATAAAGTTCTAAGGGAAGATTAGGTATGCAAACCCATACATCAATTCTCTTAAAGCTATAGTCCTGAGGCCTAAATAAAGGCCTCCATCTCTGGACAAGGAGATAGTGGTCCAAAATTAAACAAGATCCCTTAAAGAGGGCATGTTTATAGTCATCTAAATTCTCAAACTTCACTAGAAAAAAGTCGTTGCTTAGGTCCAAGATTTGCAGGCTACCATTCTTACCCTAGATGTTATTAAGCTTCTGACTAAGGAAATTGAAACTAATAATTTTTCCTAATAGTTTCACTATTAGAGTAAACCTCCATGTACTACACCATAGCTCATAGTCTTCTAAATGGACTTTAATTTCTAGGCAAAAGTTCTAGACCTCATTCGCCTCAGTGACAAAATCGTCAAATTCTTGAGGTAAGTTCAACTCATCTAACACCGATTTTATAATTTCTTTATTATTAAATCATAGATCTAGGTCATTTCTAGCCATAACCTTTTCTTTATATGACATGCACAGTGGAGATTTAGGGAAAGAAGACGCTTGGATAGCCATATTTTTATTACAGGTCGTTGCTTGCAAGAGTGGATCAACCACATCCATGACACTTTCTGCGTTTGTCTTTACTTTTTTTGTGCTTCTAACCATGAGATCCATTTCCTCCTTTGATTGTGTCTCCCCTTCTGTCAGCTCCATGTTCACAGCCTTCCCTGATTTATAGGAACTCTACTCAATAGGGCTCCTCCTTGCGGCCTCGCTGCGCTCACTGGATCTATTTGCCAAGTTAGTGTCAACGTAAGGCTCAGGGGCGAAAATAAGGGTTGGAAACCCTAGCAAAGGCAGAGAAAAGAGTTTCAATTTTTTCAGCACAAGAAATGATTTCTTGGACATATGGAGGCAAAAAAAAAATGTTATTATAAAATTAATTTTTTATTAACTAAGTAACTTTTCTCTGTATTATGTATTTTTTAATTTTATTTAATATAATTTAGTATTTGTTATTAATAATTATAATAATTACTCTTTTTTAAATTTATAAATTTAATAAACTTAAAATAGTCATATAATATATTTTATTTTTATTTTTATTTATTTATCTTAACCATTAAATAAATAACATATATCTATTTTATTATTTTAATGTATAATAAATATAAAATATAATAAAAATTATTTATATTTTATCTTTATTCAATTTTTATATTTATCAATTTCTATCGTAAAAGTATTAAGCATGCCATTAATTTCTTGTTTGCCACGAACGCACGCATCGTTTAAATAATGTCCATAACTTTGAGGAAAGTTCCATAATGTCCATCATTGTTCCTTCCATTCTTGTATTATGTGCTTAACAGACATGGCAACTGCAACCGTTGTAAATTGTGTATATTTTGAAAATATTTGTAATGTTTCACGTTGTTTAGGCTTACTTCCTTAAATTTTTTATATATTAAAAAGTGTTTTAGACAGGTAGACAAGTGCGGATTGGATGAATTTGTTTTGTTTAGTTGCAATGAATTTGAAACATGTAAGATAAGTTTCTTATAATAATGTTTTCCTCCGATGCATTTATGGTATATTATAAACATGAACAAATGAAGTTGACGTTGTAAATTTTGGATTAGTTACAAAAAATTTAAATAAAAAAATAAATATTCTTGAAGAGAGACAAGCTTGGCCTTATATATGTTTTCTTTCTTTCCTCTTTCTTTTCATTTTTTCTTTGGGTGACGTTGCTTCTCTAAGTAGGTCGTGCAGTCACTCTGTTAAACTTGAGTTCTTGGCATTTGTCATTTGATTGATTTCATTACTAGGTGTGATTGAGATTATTTTACATTCTCTAACTTTTGGCTTATATTTGTTCCAAGCTGTGGAGCAATGAGTCATAATGCAAAATCATGAATGGAGAGGCAGCGAAAGATAGGAGCAAAATGGACCAACATGCATATTGCTCCTGATGAGAAGATAGAAACATTTGAACCTGATGATACTGCAACCTATGCTCGTGTCATTGAAAGATATGAGGCAAGGAACTCGGAGGAAATACCTAAACGAGCAGCATTTAAAGAAATTAGAGGAGAAAAACAATAAGCAAAAAGGGGGAAATGAATTAAGTGATGATGATGATGTTATGAAGGTTGATGACAACAAACAGGTGGACTTTGCTAATGTTGAGAAGAGTGTTAGAACTATAGGAGGTGGCAGTATAGGAACTGTAAGGTATGTTTCTTTACTGCTAGCACTTGTCTTCCTATTTGTTTGTTATATTTAGCAGAGCAGAATCAGAGTCTCAACCACACTCACCAACCCAAAAAACCTGTGATATTATTTTTTTGTTGTTCTGATTCTATCTGTTTGCTTTAGAAACTTGCGTATCCGGGAGGGCATTGCAAAATTCCTTTTGAATCTTTATGTCAATTCTGCTTGTTATGATCCGAAGACCCTTTCTATGCGAGAGGATCCTCTTCCAGATGCTGAGCTAAATGAGAGGTTATATGGAGTGTGTCATTGGAGTTGGGAGAATTTATCAAGTTTTTAGATTCATAAAACTTAGAAAATGTTTTACTTGATTGTGTTTACTATTTTTTTGACAGGGAGACAACCAATATAGGATAGTGGGACAACCTTTGGAGTTCAAGCAAATTATTTGAGAAAGGCCAGGATATCCACATGCAAGCTGCACCTTCCCAAGCTGCATTGCTGTATAAGAATTTTAAGATAATAAAGAGAAGTTGAAGTCTCAAATGAAAAATACTATAATGGAGAAGTATGGAAATGCAGCAGCCCAAGAAGAGCTTCCAAAGGAGCTTCTTTTGGGACATACTGAGAGACAAGTGTTTATATTTATGAATTAAGGAAATTTATATTCATTTTTGTGCTTCAGATTTTTTTCAGGCCTTGATTGGATTAGGGATAAAATACTACTTTCCATCTGTTAGACCTATGAGGAAACATGGGCAGGGTTTGCTAAGATGTCTTTTGGATCATGGTGATCTCATGATCACTTGTTTTACATTTGCCCTTTTTAGATCAGAGCTTAAAGTTCTGTTGGAGGATTTAATAATTTGTTACATTTAGATTCCTCAATTTGCATGTGTTTTAAACTAAGTATTGATAAACTATCGACTCTTTGCGGATGCATTATCTGTGCAGCACTCATTTTTCAACAAGTCAAGCGGTTTAATTGGTTTTACTGTAATTTACATGTGCAAAATTTTCTATTACAATGTATTTTCCATTTTTTTAACTCTTCATTGCCATTAATCATTATCATGCATCAAATGGTAGGAAAAGGTTTCGGTGGTTTATCTGTAGGAAACATCTCTCCGAAAGAGCAAGTATGAAAATGTAAGCATTAATAATCACACAAGTGTATGGGGTTCATGGTGGAAGGATCACCAATGAGGCTACAAATGTTGCAAGCAAACTATATACGAAACAGTTACCGCACTTGGGGCAGCAGGAATTGAGGTAATGTTTCTATTTTGCTATTTTTTTTGTTAACCAACAATGCACGCATATCTATTAGGGAAATTTATTTTCTGTGTTTCACACCGTAATGATTTTTCCAGGTCACTCCTGAGGAGATGGAGGCATATAGCATCAAAAAGATTAATCATGATGATCCCATGAAAGATTTTCTGCATTAGGTGTCTTTTCCTACTGGGTGGTGGCTATGGGCTTGAAAAAATAATGTGAAACATAATTACTGAACTCTTAAAGAAAGTGTAGGAGTGACCGCAATGTATTTTTCTGGTTGATGATTTAAATATTCGACTTTACCTTTTAGAGCTTCCATATATTCAGAATGTAACTGAGGTAGGACAATGAAAATATTTTGCCCAAGGGTTGGAAGCACAAGCACGCACCACCCTAATAATGTACATTGCTTGTAATGACTCATTTTGGTTTGTGGGTTCCTCAACCCCATTTAGTCTCTATGTCAATACTCACATTAATTTTTATCGGGGTCTCGAACTCTCTTATACTTTTATTCTTCATTCTTAACACTTGATCATTAATCTGAACTAAAAATGCGCTTTCAATTCAATTCATTGTTTACTAAGTAGTATGTCTATCAAATACAAGTTCATGCACAATTGATCAAACATTTCCTGTAAGCTAAGAGAACGAAGAATAAAAAAGGGAAGGAGGAAAAACAATCCATTACGGAAGTCCTAGAATATTGATACATCTTGTCACTGCTTTTTGCAAAAAAACCTTCACTACCCAAAATAAAGAACAAGATAAGCAATCCCAAACAAACAACCATGCACCATAGATCGCAAATGAATCTTGTATTATGTGACAGTGAAAAAGAATAGTGGACATGAAACTTCACTTCAGGAACTTCGGGCTATCATTTCCTGGAATTCCAGCAGAGACCTCTCTTTCTGAAGCCTCATATCCTCATGAAACTTGGAGATAAATTCCTCCGCCCTCTCATCCACCTGCAAGTGAGGTGACTTAGCAATCACAGCCTTCCATGCATCCTCAATATTTATGCCACTGCTCCCTACTGCCAAATCCCTCTTGCCAATCACTTCTTTGCCTCTACTTGTTTCTCCTTGTGCATGATTCTTGTTGGCATGCATATGCATAGAAGAAGCAGCCTCACCAAAAAGGTCATCTATGCATATGGCAGATATGTTCTTGCTCTGAACATGGTAGTTAGAAGCAGCATATGGTCTTCTACTAGTGAGAGAGCGACGAGCTCTGGAGGGTATGAACTGATGAAGGGAATGTAAGGTGACAAGGAGGCGTTTAAAGGTGGCTTTCATGACTTTTGGGATGTTGAGTTTGTAGACTTTTGATTGCAGTGTGTTGGAGAAGCTCTTCCAAGCCTTCTTAGCAGGTTGAAGCTTCTTTCCTAGCCTCAAACGAGACATCCTAACAATGATTTTTGGTTGGAAAGAGGATAAGGGAAGAGTTGGAAAGAGAAGGAATGGATTGTAACAAGTCTACCAAAGCATGTCAGAGTTAGAACTTTGAAATGGTTCTTATGATGAAGGAGGCTTTGATGCACACTAGTTTTATACAATATCTTTCTTCTCAGGTCTCCATTATCTTTGTGGTGTCACATTGCCACATCATTAATCAAGGGAGGACTCAAGTACCATTTGTTTGATTCATGTTGCATCAAATGTGGGCCATAAAGTCTGTTTGGAATAACTGATTAAAGGATTTGATTTGATTTATTTATTTTTTTCATTTGGGATGTTAAAATAAGAATTGATTTCATTTTGAAAGCGTTTTAATTTAAAGGGATTGTATTTGAAAATTCAATCAATTTTGATTTGATTTTAGTTTTAATCAAGTAATAATTTTTCTATTATTTATTTTCCTATTCTAGTTAAGGTTGAGAAAATAAAATTATTAAAAAATGACTTTTATTTATAACTCATTTTAAATATAAAAAGATGATATATATATATATATATAAAGAATCTTTTTACATTATCATATTATATTCTAACTTGAATTATGTGAGAAAATTATGTTCTATATATATATATAAAAGAACAAAATTTTCTTACATTTCTAATAAGATATAAATTAAATAAAAGATTCAGATTAAGTATAAATTTTTTAAAATTTATACTTTATACTAGAGTGAGAAAATTATTTTCATATATATATATATATTGGTAATGTCATGAATAATTTTTGAACCAATTTAATTTTAATAATTCCAAACACAACCATGTGTTCATTGATGTTGGTCAAGAAAGATGGGAACAAATTGAAGTGTAATCAATTATAATCCATATCCAAAAGGATGAAATTTCCTAGTCCAAGTATATCACTTTCGGCTTAATTGACAGCTTTGAAGCAACCTTGTGTGCTAAGTTTATTAGGAAATATCAATTCTGTAAACCCCACCATATGTGGAGTGCCAGTATAAACTTTCAGTTCTTTCTTTTTTAAAATATAAATCTAATTTTCTCCCTCAGATTTGGAAACAGTACCATTAGGTTGCGTTTGACAATCAATTAGGTAGGATCGTAGCAGCCACTTGTTTCACTTTGCTTCAAAAGCGATAACCACAAATTGTACGGTACACTAAATGCATATAATTTCATAGATTTATGTATCAGTTGCTATAAACATTTTCCTTTCTGTAGGAACTCTCAAAGGGTGTCAAAGCGTTTTACAATAGGAAGAAAGCCTATTTACCATTTTGTTTTCAAATTATTTTTTGTCAAATCGACCTTTCTCTTAAATTTTTATCTGAGTCAGACCAGGCCCAATTCAAAAAGATTCATTTATATTTGAATAAAAAATTAAGGGTTTTGTTGGGCCTGGAACCAATATATATATTTTTAATTTATTATCATGTTGGATTAATGCAAAGTGATGAAATGAAAAAATTAAAATAAATATGTTAATGGTCATTTTAGATTAATCAAATTAATATATTTTCAAAGCTTGCAAAGCATTTGTTAGGTTTAAAATAATTGTTAGTGCAATAATTTTAATACTATTGCATCGGATTTTATTGAAACTGTATTTGAAAGTTTGGAGGAGGAGAGAAGAAAAAAGTTTGAAAGATGACAGATGACAAGGACATCAAGATGTATATCAATGGATATTATAAGCTACTAAAATATTTGAAGTTAGAAAATATCGACAGGATGAACTAGTATTAAAATTTCTAATTGAAAAACTAACAAATAGGTAGAAAGACTACAAACAACAACCTAACGCTTCTCACATCGTAAGAATGAAAAATTATTAGTGTTAGCAGAATTAACAATAAGTTGTTATTACTCGTATGAACCTTCTTCATAGTCTAATAAGATTATAAATAGATTAATAAGATTATGATTTAGAAGGTATGATTAAACACTTTGAGATTTTGAGACTTAACCAAAATAAGAATCCTTATTTTTATTTTCTCTCATTTTTTTTTCTCATTCTTGCATGGATTAAGTGCTTCGATGGAAGGCTAAACCTCTTGTTCAATCCGCGAAATCCAAACGTTGTAATTCTAACTTGAGTTTTGCGCTAAATTGCTCTAAATTTATTCTCTTTTCCTCTCTAATCTCATAATTGTGTATTACAATTATGATTAACTTTTTTGTTGTTAGAATTCAAATTAGGACTCGACTGATGCTCTGATTTGATAATTAATGTGAATTAGGTTAAATAATTATTTGATTTAATTTGTAATTATGTTTAATTAGGTTATTCGATTGAATTAACAATTGAATTGGGTAATTGTTCAAATGCGGATTTAAATCTTTAGATATTGTGATAATCAAAGTTACATGCATTTGGTATTTTGTGAATTGATGTTTCTTAATTCATTTTTACTTAATTTTATTCTGTTCGTAATTCAATTTGATTAATTTACAATTTTTAAAATTCTAAAAATCTTATTTGCATTTTTTTAAAAGAAAACCTAAAATTAAATTTGACTGAGAATGTGTCTCTGTGAATCGACTTAGGTTTGGCTCTACATTACAAAATTTTTAGAAAACTTAGTTATTTTGATAAAGATTCGACATTGTTTATCACTACTCCTCAGGTTGATAATATGTGTGATCCTCCTATTGCAGTGGATATTCCACAGCCTATTCAGCTAATTGCACAGATTCCTTTGAGAAAATTAACTAGAGAGAGAATATCTGCTATTGGTAATGATTTTGTAGTCAATCTTAGTAAGAATGCCTACGACATTGGAGACATTTTTTATCCAAAGAACTATCAAGAAGCTATATCTTATCTACAATCTAAAATGTGGAAGCATGCGATAAATGAAGAAATGCAGTCCATGTCGGTAAATGATGTATAGGAACTTGTTAAGTTGCCTAAGAATTGTAAGGCAATTGGTTGTAAATGGGTTTTCAAGACGAAGAAGGACTCATATGGTAAGATTGAGATAAATAAAGCAAGACTGGTAGCCAAGGGTTTCACACAAAAAGAGGGAATTGACTTTAAAGAAACTTTTTTTCCTGTGTCGAGCAAGGACTCCTTCAGGATCATTATGGCACTACTTGCTCACTTTGATTTAGAGTTGCACCAAATAGATGTGAAGACTGCTTTTATGAATGGTGAATTGAATGAGACAATATATATGCAACAACTTGAGAGTTTCCACATTGATTATAGTAAGAACTTGGTTTGTAGACTCAAAAGGTCGATCTATGGTTTAAAACAAGCCTCTAGACAGTGGTATTTGAAATTTGATGAAGTGGTGACTTCTATGGGGTTTGAGAAGAATAAAGTTGATCAGTATATATACCTCAAGGTCAGTGAGAGCATATTTATCTTCCTCGTGCTCTATGTGGATGATATATTGTTAGCTTGTAATAACTTTAGCATACTACATGAGACAAAGCAGATGTTAACTAGATCTTTTGATATGAAGGATATGAGATACGCTTCTTTTGTGTTGGAAATTCGGATTTATAGCGATATATCACAATGTACACTGGAGTTATCTCAAAAGGCTTACATTGATAAAGTCTTAGAAAGATTTAATATACAAAACTGCAAACTAAGAGATGTTTCAGTTGTTAAAGGTGACAGGTTCAACAAAGATCAATGTCCTAAGAATGAGATTAAGCGAGCAGAAATGAATGGCAGGCCTTTTACAAGTGCATTAGAAAGCTTCATGTATGCTCAAGTATGCACTAGACCTGACATTGCTTTTATAGTCAGTGTTCTAGATAGATATCAATCAAATCCTAGAAGTGATCACTGAACAGCTGCTAAGAAAATAATGAGATACTTACAAAAGACCAAAGAGTATATGTTTGTGTATAAGAAAATAGACAACTTTGAGATTTTGGAGTACTCAGATTCAAATCTTGATCAATGCCTTGATGACAGGAAATTGACTTTAGAATATGTCTTTATGATGGCTAGAGGTGTGATATCCTGAAAGAGTAAGAAACAAATTCATGTTGCCTCCTCTACTATGCAGGCAAAGTTAATTGCTTGGTATGATGCAGCTACTCATGTTATTTGGTTGAAAAATCTAGTAATAAGACTTCGTATTGTGAACTCCATTGCTACACCACTAAGGATTTTCTGTGGCAACAATGTTGCAGTGTTCTATACAAAGAATAACAAGATTTTTATTGGATCTAAGCATTTGGAGTTGAAGTACTTAATTGTTAGAGACCTTGTGAAAGATTGTTCCAGAGCACATTAACACATATGGTGTGAGAAGTGTTAAGTTGCATGGAAAGAGAGGTTGAACTTTAAAGCTTTTGATGAATTTCATGATATATAAGTGTCAAGTGGGGTTGTTCATATGAGATTAAGGCAAAATTTCTAAAACACTTGTGAATCACCATGCATGGCGCAAAATGGCAAAAGCAACAAGAGATGTAAAGTGTAATGTGATAAACAAGTCTCTACCACACATTAAAGGATATTGGTTCATAGAAGTCTTACTTCACCAATACATCATATGTTATGCTTTATTTGTACAAGTCTAGTTTTCTTAGTCCAAAAGATACTATCACCAATGCATTTACACTTATAATATAACCCAATAAATGTTATAGTATTTATTATTAATAATAACTATTATTCAAATCCTTTTGAAATATGTGAGAGATTGCTGTAAATTGTATATATTTCAAATGTATTTTAATATCCCACGTTGCTTGTACTATAAGCTTTGAAGTCTTTATATATGAAAATGTGTTTTATGTTTGTAAACAAGTTAGCAAAAAAAGTGATCACATTATCACATGTCTTAACCTACAAATTTTACAATAGAAATTGTATGATAATTCTCTCAAGTCAATAATTATTTACAATTTTATCTAGTAATTTATAAACTAACAAATATTATTGAATAACCAAGTAAAGAATTCAAAATCAAGTTTTGTAACACCTTAATTTAATTTTCTAAATAAATAAATTTTACAAAATTGAGAATAATAAAAAATTTCATTCAAACAGTTTCCAATGCATAAGTTCAGTAAAGTATTT